ACTGATGGTAGTGGTAGGTCTTAAAAAACATTATTTATTGTGTCCATGTGCTTCTCTTTCCTCAAACAAACAAACAAACAAACAAACCAAACAGTTTCTGTCAGTGTGTCGGACTTTCTCCCAGCACTAAACCACCACCATTGTGTCCATGTGTCTCTCTTTCCTCAAACAAACAAACAAACCAACAAAGACGACCGGCGTACTCATCGACCCGTACACGATTTATTCCAACAAAAGGCAGTCACAAACACACAGACAGCACCATCACCTGATACTGCACACAATGCTTTCACTTTGATTTGGATCAGCTTTATATAAATCTTTCTATATATATATAGCAATCAGCAACAAATTTCACCATCATCATCCTCCTCATCTAAACAATTTTCATTTTTCTTGGGTTTTTTTAAACCATAACAATTTGTACCATGTCCCCACATTTGTCTGTAACTTACATATACTGACACCAAATCAGGACACAGGGAAAAAAAACCCAAACAAACAAACAAACAAACAAACAAACAAACAGACAAAACCCCCATGACAACCAATTACAGCAAGTCATTCATAAATAATATATATCCATCTGTCACCCAAAAGTACACATGAAAAATTTCTTTTTTTCTGAATCTTCAGCTGGGAATGACACAAAACATTAGACATCTACATGCCAAAAAATTATTTTGAAAAAGAAGATTAGAGCATTATCACATTTATTTATTTTGATACAAGACTTCTTTACTTCACTTTTTTTTCTTTGTAAACTTCCAACATCCCCCCCCCCAAAAAAAATAAAAAAATATAATAATAATAAACAAACAACAACCCAACCCAATTATACATCCAAGTAGACAGAAATTAGATATATTATATAAGTGATCGTGTGTGCACTCTCCAACAACCCCACATTTGTCTGTAACTTACACATATTGACACCAACTAAGGATATATAAGTGATCGTGTGTGCACTCTCCAACAACCCCACAACTTCCTCCTTCACTGACACGCCAGCACGTTCAAGGACAGAGGGGAGAGTGGCACGTTCAAGGACAGAGGGGAGAGTGGCACGTTCAAGGACAGAGGGGAGAGTGGCACGTTCAAGGACAGAGGGGAGAGGGGCACGTTCAAGGACAGAGGGGAGAGTGGCACGTTCAAGGACAGAGGGGAGAGTGGCACGTTCAAGGACAGAGGGGAGAGTGGCACGTTCAAGGACAGAGGGGAGAGGGGCACGTTCAAGGACAGAGGGGAGAGCAGCTGACACACCATGGGTCCCCGGGGGCAACACGTGTTGTCACAGAGTGTGTGGGTCGGTGTGTGAGTGCAAGCATACAGAAGGTTCATCTACAAGGTGTAGGTGGGTGGCTGGTGGGTGCTCTGGTGGGGTTGGCTCCTTCTTTCCTATCAGCCATCTATGGTCAACTGACTTTCAAAGACTCAAAGAATCACATTCAAACATTTCAATCTCTAATCATCTGGATCATCCCTCGTGTTGGAACCATCATCCAAACCCTTCCACGAGCCTTCGTCTGGCCGACCTCCCTTCCCAGAAGTCAGCACGGGGTCACAAGCCTCGTCATCCGTGCTGAAATCCTCGTCACTTTGCTCCGACCAGCCAGGCAAGTCCTTGCGGATCGTGGCCGACAGCGAGCTCGACGTCTGGGCCGAGGGCTCCACCAACGAGAAGTCAACGTGCTTCGACAAGATGTCCTTCAAGAAATCGGGGCCGTCATAGAAGCGGAACTCTCCCGCTCGAACCTGGAGGAAGACACAAACGTGAAATAAGTGGACAAACTAATTAGGATGGTGAAATGCTACAGATTTACACCCCTTTCAACACAATTTGGTAACTCAAGAGGTGGGACCTGAGATAAATGTCCATCTCCAGAAGGACCAAGTGAAATAAGAGCTTTGAGTAAACTGACTTTCCCAAGGACACAACATCGGACCGAGCTGAGGCCAACGGTACAAGACAACGACACACACAAGACACACACACAACACACTGCACCGCTAGTACAACAGTCGTCCAATGTCTGGCCATGATCAACGTGTCTACACAGGAGGATATTTGTCAAAGTGAAGTGGAAGATCTGAGGACTGAGACCACTTGTGGCTTCTGCTTCAGCCAATGAGATCAGTTCTAGCAGAGACCACACCACAGCACCCGCCAACCACCCACAGAGACCAAGTCAGCCACATTTTGAACAGGCCTTTCCCAAAGATGAAATGTTGGGTCTTTGATGGGATTCGAACCCAGCATCTTGTGGTTGCAAGTCCGCGAGCCTACCCATTAAACCTCCGACCCCCTTCATTACACATGAGAAAGCTGTGATTGGAAAAACACAAAACTGGAAGAGGAACTGGCACCACGTGTACGTGGGTTCCCCGCGGCCAGCCGACCAATCACGTACCTCGATCACGGTGAAGCCGAGCTGCTCCAGCTGTGACCTTCGCTGAGCCTGAGCCCCGAGCAGTTGCCGCGTGTTGATGGAGTAGTGGTCCGCGCTACGCAGCACGATCACGAACCTGGGGAAACAGACGAGGTCATAGGGTCAAAACAAACGGAGACTTACCGGAGAAGCAAAACTGAAGTGTTCCAGTACAGAGTTTTCCCGTCAGAGTTTGGCAAAAGAGAAGCCACGGACACAACAACGATCAAACAGGGCAGGGAACAAGCACCATTTATAGAACCACAAAGAGAAGGAACAGAAGCAGGATCTACCAGTGACACCCTCCTACCACCCACAAGAAGCAGGATCTACCAGTGACACCCTCCTACCACCCGCAGGAAGCAGGATCTACCAGTGACACCCTCCTACCACCCGCAGGAAGCAGAATCTACCAGTGGTGCCCTCCTACCACCCGCAGGAGTTTTACAGCATTTCCAGCACAAAAAGATCATAGAAATGTCAAAGATTAGGGCTGTTACTTCAGTGTAACATACAAAACAAGCAGAAGAGATAGGACGATAGATGATGGACTGGAAAGACGGAGCAAACCACACCACAGCGCCCGCCAACCACCCACTAAGCAGAAGAGATAAGGACGATAGATGATGGACTGGAAAGACGGAGCAAACCACACCACAGCGCCCGCCAACCACCCACTAAGCAGAAGAGATCAGGACGATAGATGATGGACTGGAAAGACGGAGCAAACCACACCACAGCGCCCGCCAACCACCCACTAAGCAGAAGAGATAAGGACGATAGATGATGGACTGGAAAGTCGGAGCAAACCACACCACAGCGCCCGCCAACCACCCACTAAGCAGAAGAGATAAGGACGATAGATGATGGACTGGAAAGACGGAGCAAACCACACCACAGCGCCCGCCAACCACCCACTAAGCAGAAGAGATCAGGACGATAGATGATGGACTGGAAAGACGGAGCAAACCACACCACAGCGCCCGCCAACCACCCACTAAGCAGAAGAGATAAGGACGATAGATGATGGACTGGAAAGACGGAGCAAACCACACCACAGCGCCCGCCAACCACCCACTAAGCAGAAGAGATCAGGACGATAGATGATGGACTGGAAAGACGGAGAAAACCACAGCACCATCACCCAGACACAGGGAACAAAAGTCTGACAGACATTCTGGTGCTGGACTGAGATGAATAAACCACGAGGTCAACCACAGAGGTCACAGGTCAACCACACAGAGAGAGGAAGCAGGCGGCTGTGAATCGTGAACTTACTTCTGCTCCACCTTGCCCTGCGGCTCCGGTCGTCCATTCTCTGACCTTGACACTGGCAGCGGGGCACCTCGCTCGTCCATGTAGAACGCACAGCCTGGACACACAGGAGAAGTTTTGATTTTATTGGCACACATTTTACGGCACTTGCAACACAATTAGGACTTGTAAGTGCTGAAGATTAGAGGGGGGACTAGAGAATAACAAACACAAAGAACGAGGGGAGATGAAGTACACACAAGAAAGATAACACGCGATGCACGCACCTACAACTACACAAACACGACACACTCACAACTACACACACAACACGCCTATCACACACAGGTACACACAAAAGAGATAACACGCGATGCATGCACCTACAACTACACACACAACACGACACACTCACAACCACACACACACAACACGCCTGTCACACACAGGTACACACAAAAAAGACAACACGCGGTGCACTCAACAACACGCGATGCACTCACATCCGTAAAACGGGACCACATGATGACACCTCTCCCCCAAAATGTCCGACAGCGCAGACTTGAGGGTTTCGATCGCGATCCGCTGATTGTCTGAAAGAAAGAGATCCACATTCCTTTAGTCACAGAGAAAGTAGGAACAGAACCAAGGAAGGAAAGATTTCAGGAAGGTTTTAAAGCATAGTTTCAAATGACCCCAGTGAGAATTTGAAAGACAGCTGCCCCGCCCACGACCCAGATTGACGAGACCTCAGATCAAAAAGGTCCATCTATACTCTTCTTTTTTAGTTTTAGTGTTTTACGGCACTTGCAACACAATAAGGTCATATAAGTGCCGAAGAAAAGAGGTGTTACAAAATACAAAAAAGAAGGAGAGATAAAGACGATAGACGTTTGATTGGAAAGAATGAGCAAACCACACCAGAGCATCCGCCAACCACCCACAAACATCTCCATCAAAGATATTGACCATCTGTACATCAAAGATATTGACCATCTGTACATCAAAGACTGAACAAAAGAAAAAGCACAGGGGTCTTCATTGACGGAGGAGGAAGACGAGGAGGAAGAAGAGGAGGAAGACGAGGAGGAAGACGAGGAGGAAGAAGAGATTAAAAAGAAAAGAGGAAGAGGAACATCAAAAACAACAAAAGGAGGAAAAACCAAACCCCTCTAAAAAAAAAAAGAAAAAAGAATTTTTAAAACGAGGAAAAAACCAGTTTCTGTAAAAGGCGCACAAGTCCAAGCCCCCAGTCCGCGACCACGCACCCATGTAGCAGAAGACGCTCCACTTGCTGCGGCGCCCCATGACCCACGCCACCCGTCGCTCCACCTCCGGGCTCCACGCCAGCGCCATCGCGTGCTTCACGACCTTGAGCCACATCAGAGCCGACATCTTGCTGGGGTTCTTCAGATCTGGGAACACGGAACACGTGACACAGCGACTGTTTACTGTCGTGTCAGCCAGTTAGTTTGTTTGTTTGTTTGTTTGAGTAAAGAGTAGCACATTGATATGAGAATGGTCGTTTCCTAATGGAAAAAAGTAAGACAGACAAAAGGGTTTACTTTTGTATTGATGAGTTTGTTTAAGGAAACAGAAGCACATGAGACAGACAGACAGACAGACAGACAGACAAAGACCACAGACAGACAGACAGACAGACAAAGGCAATTGAGGGAAAGTAAAGAAGTTGTGTCGATAGGGTCGTAACAACACCGACATTGACCAAAAATAGCTCCACTGACCTCCGACCTTACTGTAGAAGTAGTCGCTGCTGATCCTCCGGTAGAAGTTGTGAGGCAGGACCCCGACAAAGGTGAAGGAGCCCAGGATCTCCAACAGCTGGTCCGCACCAATCACACTGAAGCGATCCGACAAGCAGCTCTCTACCTGGGAGCAAGTACGTCATCCCTTCAATGTCAGTGGAAAGTAACAACAATAATAATGATACTATAGCACTAACAACAATAATAATGATACTATGGCACTAACAACAATATTAATGATACTATGGCACTAACAACAATAATAATGATACTATGGCAGTAACAACAATAATAATAGTAATAATAATAACAACATTTGCATCCTAGTCCCACTCTGCAGCCTGCTGCACCAAGCAGGAAGGTGAACTGGTCGATCAAATCTCCCCACCAGGATCAATGACAGTAAAATTTAGTTATTCAATTACTTACTTTATTTATTTCGTACAAATTAAAGTAACATTTCGTCTATCAATGTCTGATGATGAACAATGCATCCGCAGAGGGGAAAATTTCTCCAGCGAAATAGAAGAATTAAAAAGTTGACATGACTTGTGGTTTCTGCTGTGGCTAAAGAGAGGAATTCTGGCATATTTGTTCCGAACAGGATTAGTATCTTTAAACTGCCTCGATCTATCTCTGCCTCGATCTATCTCTGCCTCGATCTATCTCTGCCTCGATCTATCTCTGCCTCGATCTATCTCTGCCTCAATCTATCTCTGCCTCGATCTATCTGTTTATTTAGGACAAAAGGCAACTCATACATGAGAGGCAGCGTTGAAATTAAAGAACCCATTTCTGCGTGAATTTTACTGAAATAAAACGTTGATTTAAGGCACACAAAATGTAAATTTTAAGTTCCCACTGACTCTCAAAGGATGGCTAATTTTATCTCTGTAACCAGGCGACCCACACCACCTTCAGTGTCAAATATCTCGACTTGTATTCAAGAGAAATGATTTTTTTTTCCCCAACGAAAGTACGACAAATGAACAAGTAGCTCCAGTAACTCCACACGCCCCAACATCAACAACCGCTGATTCCTCCGCGCCGGGTCACAAATGTCTCTTGTTTTGTTAGAATATGAGGCAGCTCACGCACGACACAACGGATGAAACAAAAGAGTTGGGTATGTGGCGGCGTCACTCACTCTCTTCAGAAAGGCGGCCGGCTGCGGTGGCAGGAAGTTGAGGTGGCCGAAGGCTCTGAGCACGGCGTACAGCTGGAGCGGCTCGTAGCTGGGCCCGTGCTGCGTGAAGTGACGCGCTGCTACGTCCATCACCACGGGAGACACGAAGCGCTGGGAGCGGCAGTACTCCACACACAGGGCGAGGATGTCTGTCTCCACCTGGGGGGGGCAGTGGGGGGAGTGGGGGTAATTGTTATACTCTGCACACAGCGCTAGGATGTCTGTCTCCACCTGGGGGGGG